CCCCTCCCCACTCCCCGCATATCGCAGGTAGTGGCTGTGAGCTGCACATCTGCTCGACAAGCCATGATATTCGATGTGCGTACGTCCGCGCGGCTTACCGTACTGGATCCGCCCCCGCTGGCCGCGGCCACGGCCGGCGGGCCGTCGCCTGGCGGCAGCGGCGGCCGTACCCCGCGGCCTGGCGGCGGTCTTGGCGGCCTTGGCGGTCTTGGCGGCGGTCTGAGGCTGGGACTGGGAGCCGTTGCCGGCGGTGATGTACGGCGGTCTGGTCGCGGTAGTGCGGCGGCGGCGGCTTCTGCCTGCTATAGCCCCACGGGGACGATGCTGCTTTGGGGCAACTGCCTGTACGACCTGCGTACGAGGACTGCCGTACACCAGTTTGATATGTTTACGGACAGCGGTTCTGGAACCTTCCATCCAGCGGGCCTCGAGGTGTGTGCGTCTGTTCGTATGTATTGTGTCCTTTTTCAAGGCCAATGTGATCCGCAATGTCACGTCATGTCCAGGGCTCGCTAAGCATCCAGTCGGGGCTCCGGACCCTGCACGGCACTGCAGCCCCTACCCAAAACTGCACAGGACAACACACAAACATTTCCTGCCGACGAACCAACCAACGAACATCCAACTAACCAACTGACTAGCCCACGGCGCCATTCGCAGGTCATCCTGAACAGCGAGGTGTGGGACCTGCGCACCTTCAAGTTGCTGCGCTCCGTGTGCTCGCTGGACGGAGCCTCCGTGGCTTTCAACGGCGGGGGCGATGTAATGTACGCGGTGCGTGCCGCATTGTGGGGTGTGTATGGCGTACGTGTATACAGCGGCTCGTGTGTGTGTGTGGGGGGGGAGGGGGAGACGGGTTAGTGAATGATGGGTGTAGCGGTGGAAGGTGCGGGTTAGGGGGGTAAAGACAGGAACCCAGATGCAACCTGACCTGCTCTCGTGCTGCACCCCTCCTTCCCATGAGCCATGAAGGGCTGTGCGGCCCTGCCTCGGGTGTGTGCATATGCCGAGACCCGGAGAGCCCCGACATTGGACCGGACCGGACCGGACTCCGCACTCGGGCGCATACTGGCACTCGGGTGAATCCGCAACCCTTCAGGGGAATTTCAGGGAGGGGAACTGAAGTATGGCCACTCTTCCCGCCTCCCTGCTCTTTCCCCTTCTCTCCCCCCATCCTCCCCTCCAATCCTCCAATCGTGTGTGGTTCGTCTTTCCCCCCCCATCCTCCCCCCCATCTCACACACCTGCACGGGCCCTCAGTGGCGGCGGCATTCCGAGGAGTCCTTCTCGCAGCTGTTCCACCCTCGCCGGGCTCGCCACCCCCTCCACACGGCCTTCCGTACACTGGACGCCGCCACGTACACCGACATCGCCACGGTGGCGGTGGAACGCGTGGTGCTGGACCTGGCGGTGAGGGCTGCGGCCGGGCGGGGGCGGGGGCGGGGCCGTGTGGAGGTTGAGAGGTGTTTTTGCGGATGGGGAGGGCGGCGCGGGGCGGGGCGAGGCGGAGGGAGGAAGCAACAGGGGGAGGGGGAAGTGTCCCGGTGTACGGCAGTAGGGTGGTTCTCCTGCGGACTCAGGTGCGGCAGGGGCAGTGTAGCAGTGGGCAAGGAGCGACCCCATTGCCCCCCTTGGGTGGAAGTGGGCCCGGGTGAATATCCTTGTGCACTCGCTGCCCATGCAGCAATACACATTCCCTTGCATATAGGATGTGACATGCTTCTCCGTACCTACGGCCAACCCCCCCCAGGTTGAGCCCACTGACTCGCTGGTGGCGGTTGTGGCGGTTGACCTGACGGAGGAGGAGGTGACGGCGGCGGCGCGGGTGTACGAGGTTGGTCGCCGCCGCCCCGCCGACGACGAGTCCGATGCGGAAGAGGAGGAGGACGACGACAGCGACGGCGGGAGCGAGGTGCGTGCTGCTGCTGCGGGGGCGGGGGGGGGCATCCTCCCTTTGCTGTCCCGTATGTCCTTGTGGTGTAGGGCAACCTGGCCGGGGCCGAGGATATGGTCGTCAGCTGTGGTTTCGGTGCCCAGCTGTGATTTCGGTGCCAAAACCCGTACATCTGCTGCTCCCCTAATTACGTTGGCGCTCCACCTCCCCTAGCCCCCTATAGCCCCCTATAGCCCCCTAGCGGCTAGCTGCCCCTTGGTGCCTTAATTGTTAGTTGTGACATACACCAGCAGGTGATGTCACGTCGTGTTGTTGTTTCCGTGCAGGTTGGCCGGGAGTTTGTTTCGGTTACTTTGACAGGGAGTTTGTTCCGGTTACTTTTCATGCAGGATGAGGAAGAGGAGGAGATGGACTTAGACGGGTCGGACCCGGACACACCGGGGGCCGGCAGGGTGCAGCGGAACAACCGCCAGAGGGGAGTAGGCGGCGGCGCTGCGGCGGCACTGCGGCGGCTGGCGCAGGGCGGGTTTGGTGAGGACGAAGGCGGCGAAAGGGGGGAGGAGGAGGAGGAGGAAGGAGGAGGCGGTGGGCTTGGGGCTCTTCGGGGCGCGCTGGGTCGCGGCGGCGGCGGCGGCGGTGCGGACGGCGGCGACGGCGACGACGATGATGGTGATGACGATGATGATGCTGGGGCGGGCGACGGAGTCGTGAGTGATGACGAGGAGTTGGGGCTTGCGATGTTGGAAGATGCATATGCGGCGCTGGAGGACGCGTACGGAGATGATGACGAGGAAGGTGGAGAGCACGACATGGACGAGCCTGACGATGAAGATGGGGAGTTCGACGAGGAGGATCTGGAGGCGTTTTTGGAGGGGCAGGAGGACGATGACGATGACGAGGAAACCGAGGGTGAAAGCGAGGACGATGACGACCACGATGATGATATGAATGAGGGAGGTTAGCGCAGCGCCATGCGGGTGTGCATTATGGAGTGAGTGAGTGGGGACGGACGCTGCTGCATGCGGCATACGGAGGGGGTGGAACATAGCGCTGTCCATTTCCCTTTCCAGGTTGAATCACTTCGCTATTGTTCGGTAATCGATGTCGGTAGTGCTCGTGCAGTATGTGTGTTGCGGTGCTGCTGCTGCGTTGCGATGAACGTGTTGCTGGTGGTGGTGGAGATGGCCCGCGCAAGGAGATTGGGATATATCACAGGTGCTGGAGATTGGGATATGTCACAGATGCTTTTAACTGCTTGGGAATTTCCATGGGGCATTTAAGGCTTCTTTTGACATCCTCTCGTTGGGTACTGTAGACTCTTCTTTAAAAAGGGCAGGGTGTTCAGCGCGCAAGTGGTGGACCCTGTGTGGGTCCGCGTATGTGCCCGAATATAGCACCAATTGTTAGGGTTTCGGGTTTTGGCGGTGCAGCCTACATTCGGACCAGAGCACCGATCCACACCTGTCCTCACCGCATGTTGGTGCGGTTCAAGCCTCACTTATCGTCCTGTGAAAACCTGTCGTCAACAGGTCGTATTATAAGATATTTACATCATCCTTACATCCCATGGAGTTCAGCAATCCTATGACCTATGGGACAGCCGCAAAAAAACTCCAAGCATGCTGCCGCATTCAAACACCCACCTGCGTCTACGTTAAAAAAACCACCTCCTAATTTAAATGTCCATAATTGGGGCCCTGACGCACATGAAACGATATGAAAAGAGTTTGCCGCCAAATTTGCACGATTCAAAAGAACTGAGATTGGCTGTTGGGCAATAGTTTATAAGACTCTCTCGACACGAGCCTGCTCATGCAAAACATAAGAAATTTAAGCCAGTTGATACGCACGGCCATGTTAGAGGGACGCCCTGTCGTTGTCCCCGATCCAGAGCCAGGCACAGCTAAAAATCATCAGATCACCCGATATGCTAAAAATCCTCGATCTGCATTTCTTCATCGAGTCCTACTGACCGAAGCCTCGTGATCAACACTGCGAGGCAATTTATCCATACGACCAAACATCTATGATAACCCTTCACACCCATACAACAACTTAGGTTAAGCTGTACAACTCTCCAAATTAACGCCGGGCAAGCCAGGCATAGCGGGCCAAATTCGTTACCATGCGTTCCCGGGTATTCCCATCTCGCTGGATTCAGCCTTAAAGAAGTGATAGATCCGCCTTGAACACGCGGGAAAGCCCAAATCATCCTACAGCGGAACGGAATAGACCGCTCACTACGACATACATGCCATCCGGTGTGCAGTACACGGGGTAGCGGGTCAGATACACAAGTACACAAACCGTGCTGTAGTCCCGGCGGGGCCATGGACGTTTCGCCTGACGGGCCGAACAGCAGTGCAGTGTGCACTTACTGGGAGCACAGGTAGTATACAATCTCCCCTCAACTTATGTAACAGTAATGTACAAGGGTATCTTCCACGGACACAAAGGACGCCAGCCAGTAGCGCGCCAGCCGCAACGTGAATAGCTGCATTCGATCACACATCAGACCTAAGATGCTCACGGCATGCGCGAGCGGCGGCGGCCATTATGCACGCTGAAACAGCAGCTGGGGATTCTCCAATATCATGGCCGACACCTGGCACGGAGAGAGACCGTGCTTGAAAGCCAGCATGGAAACGCGCTGCTCGTAAACTGACATGTCCCCGTTCGGAACAACCAGGAGGCCAGGGCGAAGCTTGACAAGTGAAGATACTTGCTCGACATTAGTTCCAAGAATCTCCGCCAGCTTCCTTATCTTGTATTCTGGAAAACATACGCGAAAATAGAAAGCGTGCGGAGTCATAGGACTAATAGGATCAAACAATGTGTCGGCTACTCCGCAACGGCTATGAAGCAACATACCGGCACTTACCGCGCGTCTCCTGCTCATCAAGGGACGAAATTCGTGCCTTGTACCCAGCTGCTTGCCGACAGTCACGGTGAACGACATGTACACCTGCAGCGGGAGTGCCCGAACTCAGCCAAAGATGCGACCCGCGTTCCCGATAGTAGCAATACTTTTGCGGCGAACCAAAGATGCAGTAATCGTGCTTGCCGTGAAGCATTTCGCGGTATTGGAGTGCCGCTTCTGTAAATCACTGCGCACAGGGTAGAGTTTGTCCACTGAGGCGGCGTTGCAATTCAACAACGGCACCTACCTGGCACGGACGTCCCAGGAAAACGATGTTGCCGGTAGAAGCTGCTTGATGGCACGCACCGGTGGGTAAAGCAGTCCATGATTGCAAAGAAAGACTTGCAAGATTGGTTCCCAAGAGCGTTGCAACTTTGCGAATGTCGGAGGTTTCTCGTGGCTAGTTGGGTTGTGGATTATAATAAGGATTATTATATGATGTGCAAGTTCTTATATTCCGCATCTCTTTTGAGAGGTGCACCGCATCTCCCAATGATAGCTGCCAAGACACATGAGATCAGTTTGATAATTTCCTTTCCTCAGTTTTCAGCTACAATAGTGTACAAGTTATCTACCGTATGACAATTTTCCAGGCAAATTTGTAACGCTGCGACCTCTATAGGTCATACCTGTTGCCTTGGACTAATCAGCCAAGGACGCATTTGTATCTTTAACGCGCCTGGATTGTATTAAACATTGAACTAGTTCCTCTTAGCCAACTCAATGCGTCCAGTTACACGCTCGATGATATCCAGTCCAATTGCGCATAAACGATACATACCAAGCTACCAACGCGCGTCCATTTGCCTCACAAGGTTTTCAGGATATGATAATGGAAAATCAAAAGCTCGATTTCCGGAAGGCACGGTTATGTCTTCGTTTCTTGCTAGACACTGCCTGTGGAGCACTTCATATTTCCACGCCATGATACCAGCCCTCAATTCCAATCGTGAGAAGCCAAAAGTAGCAGTGACGTTACTACCCGGTACTGCAGTGAGGGTTTTAGAGACCATACGGTGACCTTTTCTTTAAACATTTGGCACGCCGAAAAAAATGGAAGTGCGCTGTAGGGTTGGGTTCCGGTCAATTTGGGGAGGTGTGTCACCGCCGCTGCGCAGGCAATTCCCCGGTGCATCTGGCCGCACAATCTCGTCCCAACCGTCAAGCCATTTTTCTGGATGGCGATGCTGCGCCCGCGCCCTCAATCCCGAGTTAGCAAGCTGCCGATCCAAAATAAATACACGGCCCACCTGCTCAGGGCCATGAGCGCACATGAGCGCAAAAAGCAAACCTAGTGGTCGGGGCCTCCCGCTTCTCCCCTTCCTAGTGTATCTACCACCCGCCACTGTCCAGTCACCGTCCCGCCACACTCACTTCCCCGCGGCGCGGTAACGCGGCGAGGGTGTAGACAGCCACGGAAGCCACGATCCCGTTAAGAGTTTACCTCGCATTTCTGTAGTCATTCACCCCCCACTACACACGCACACGCGCTGTTGAATCCGCCCACGCGGTGTGGTGATGACCACACCACAACGCCGGAAGCGGCTGCATCATGCCAACACGTCATCCAAGTGCGCAACTCCTCCATCCAACCACTACCTACCAACCACTACCTGCCAACCACTTACCTGCATGAATCCGGTGAGGTACAGCGGACCCGAAAGAATCGTCGTTACTATAGTACATACCGCCTAACACCGCACTATTGTGTCGAGCAATCTTCGCAACGAAGTATTTGATCAAAATAATCCCATATAGTAAAGCGCCTATGAAGCGTGAGGCGTCAAGTGGTTCTGAATCGCAAAATCCCGGCCGCCCCCTCCCACCACCGCAAGAAGGTAATGCGGTTTGAGCTGCGCCATTTACAACTTTCCGGACAACATGAACTCGACAACAAAGGACAACAAACAAAGGACAACTATCACCACCACCATCACGGCCAAGCCCAGAAACACCGCTTCCACAGCGACACACTTCCCACCACCCCGCGGCACGGCCCCCAAGCCTGAAGAAAAGTAGGATGTCGCACTACTCCGTGCACTAAACAACAGGGGAACAACAGAGGAAATCTTGACACCACCCGCCACCACCAAACCACAGACCCGCGCTTCGCCCCCTTCCTCACTCCCCCAGTGAAGAGACAGGACGCCATGCACCACTGTGCGAGGGGGGGGGAGAGGGCGGGTCCTCGAGCGCGAGAGGGGTAAAGGAGTAAACCCTAAACCCGCGCGAGGAGTAAACCCTAAACCCTAAAGCGCACAAATCCCCTTACTACTAAGACAGCTAAACAGACGTGCGGTCCCTCCCGACCCCCTCGGCCAGGGCGTCTAGCAGTTGTTCATCACTTTCCATGTACGACATTTACAACTTTCCAGCCGTCGGCTGCTTGCCGCTTCCCCCCGCTCCTCCTCCTCCTCCGCCTCCTCCTCCTCCCTCCCTCAAGTGGAGGTTGTTGCCCGCTCCGCAGCTGGTGGCGGTGGCGGTGGCGCCGCCGGCGGTGTTGGGGTGTTGCGCGGTGGCTGTGTGGTGCTGCTGCCAGGTGTACTCAGTGCGCACGTAGCCTGACTCGGTGATGAAGGGGTCCACCGCTGCCGGGCCCCGGGAGCCTGTGTGGGTCCACGGGGCCCGACGGGGGGAGTTGAGGGGGGTCTGAGACGGGGTTCATGTGCGTCAAGGACAAAGAAAAGGGGGAGGGGAGGAGGGGGAAAAGACGAACCACGAGCGAGTGGAGCTGCTGCCAAGGAAAGACTGCTTAGCGGCAGATGTAGGCAGGAAGCAGAACTGGGGAGGGGGAGGAGGGGGAGGGGGAGGAGGGGTTGAGTAAAACCAGGTACTGCAGGTGTTTGGGGAGGTAGCGGTCTTGGGAGGTGCGAGGAGTGTGAGAGCTGCGGGGAGTCGAGAGCTGCACAGGATCGACGTGTTTCGCGGGACGTGCGGCGGCAGCCTGGATCAGGGGTGGGGGAGGGTCGGTCAGGTCCGGGCGACCCCGGGACCGAAGGGGCCCAAAGGATTGAAAATGAAAATTGGGATCTCAAAAGTTGATTTACATTTCCCACTCACTCATGACCTCCCTCCAGCCCGACCCCTCGGGCTCCCCTCCTCGGGGCACCCCCCCCCCCACACACACACACCGACACACAACGCCCCCCTACCGTAGGGGTAGGGGTGGATCGCCACCGCCCCGGCGTCCACGGCGTGCAGCAGCGGGGTGAATATGGCCCAGGCGGCTCGTAACTCGTCGCGCCGTACGAAGTGCTGCTGATCGCCCCTGAGGGTGATATGAGGGGTTGAGATGGGGGGTTGAGATGAGGGGTTGAGATGGGGGGAGATTGGGTTGAGATGGGGGTGAAGGGGGGAAGGAGAGAGTCATGTGCAAGAAGTAGAGGGAGGCGGGAGGCGGGGGGGAGGGTAGGAGGAAGGGGTCTTAAAGCCACCCCGAGGACCGCAGAAACTTGGGGCGCATAACAGCAAAAGAGACTGCCATCGCAACCTAGCCGCCATGCACGATGGCCGTACGATACCTGTCGTACACTCCCATCAGGGTGGAGCCCCCCATCCGCCAAATTTCCGTTGACGTTTTCCCAAGCTCAGCAGGTCAACCCACTTGCTGTACGACAACACGTCGGCCAATCGGCCAGGGACAGACGCACCTCTCCACCCACCCGAACGCCACCAGAGAGAGAGAGACAGACAGACAGACAGATAGACAGACAGACAGACAGACAGACAGACAGACAGAGACAGACAGAGAGTGAGAGAGAGAGAGGACGCAGCGGATGTCGCACCTGATGCAGTCCAAGATGAGTCGCTCGTACGCGTCCGGTATCACAATGCCCTTGTACCGTTCACTGCGGGGTCGCGTTAAAAAGGCGCGCCCACAAAGACCTTCTGAGAATTAAAAGCGCCGTCCTTGCGAGCGAATCAAAAAACGAGGGAAAGTTCACCCACCGAAAGGCATCAGGGCCGCCGGACAACATGATCACCACCACTACATCCCACACACATACATTATTGTTTGGTCTGGTCTGGTGGCGCCTTTGTGTATATGAAGGTTCCGGGTTCGATTCCTGGTCAGACCCCCGACATTGTTCGGGAGGTCTAGGTTTACTAACACTGCTGAGGTGTGGAGATGAGGTCTAGTTGATGGACTAAGTTTCGCATGCTGAGATGGTGGTAATGGCTGATCTGTCTCTATGGATGTCGGGTGACTGGATGAGGAGGGGTCTAGTTGGCAGGACCCAAACCGCCGTCGGTTGTACGGTGTAATCAACTTCCAATATATAGTCCATGGCCTCCCGGCTTTGACGGACCCCCCCGCACTCGTGCGGCACTTGTAACTTGTGTAACTTGTTGTACATTATTGTTTGACGCATTTTTCCGTCGGAGGTCATCGGAGGCCATATCAGCCGAACCTCCTCTCGGGATATTGCTTGGGGGTGTCCCAGTCTTACATTATATAGCAATTTGATTCCTAATGACCGCTTGACCACTTGGGCAGGTCCAAAATTGGTGCAGTTTAGAGAACCGGAATTCATTCTTTGACAGTAAGGTGTGGAAACGCCCCCTCCCCCACCCACCCCACACATACATACATACATACACACATGCGTTGGCTGTGTGCATGTGATGAGGGTTAGCTGACATCGGCATATACTATCAATTTACTGACAGCCTCCACCATGTTTCCTTTGTTGGGAAATAATTTCCCGAAGATCACCTCACAGATGGTCACCAAACGCGACGGAACGAACGCGTGTTAAGGACATATAAGACACATCTCAACTGCCCGCGATGGGGGTTGCTGTGGGGGGAACGGGATGTTGTGAGTGCCTCGGTAACCCGCACATACGGCGCATAATGCGAGGTGTTGATGACGTCAATGTTGTGCAGCCGAATCGATTTTCCAAATCCCAAGAAAACGTTTGGCACGTAGAGGGGTGGGGTTAAGGTGCATGCTGACTACACCCTCCTACCTCGTTATTCCCTGTCTCTCCACACACCATACCATCATCGCCTTCATCGTTTAGAGGGACCGAATCGCTTTTTGTTTAGCGCGCTTGCAAGACGTCTCCCAGGGTTGGAAGTGCATGAAGACACCAGCTCGACAACAACACCTCCGGGTGCTCGTGCCCCCCCCCTCCTGGCGACCTAAGGAATTGGTGACCTTGTACCCCATATCACACCGCATGCTAAAAGGTTCCTTGGGAATTGGAAAATTGAGCATTGTTTAAAGACGACGAATCAACCACCAACAGACTAACGAAAAAACGGAATCAAGGTATTCCTTAATCCCGTTGTCTCGTTATTAGTCTGTTGGAGAGGAGGGGTGGGGGGGAACAGATAGATAGATAGATAGATGGATAGATAGATAGATAGATAGATATAGATAGATAGATATAGATAGATAGATAGATATAGATAGATAGAGGTAGGGGGGCAAAACACAGGCGCCCCTTACAGCAGCGGAGTTCATGAACGGGGCTTCCTGAGCAACAACTGTGTGTATGGAGGTCTTACGGCAGCTTCCGTACGTACGGCACACTCACGGGTACGACAGATCCAGCTCGCTCATCTCGTACTCCATCTCCAGTCCCGGCTTCTTCACCACCATCTTGGCGTAAATGGCCTCACCGGGCTGCTCCAGGGGCGGAGGAGGGTTGTACGACAAGAGGGGGAGGTCAGAAAGGGTCTCCTCACCATGTAAGGGTGGTGATGGTGATGGTGGTGATGGTGATGGTGGTGATGGTGATGGTGGTGATGGTGGTGATGGTGGTGATGGTGGTGATGGTGGTGGTGATATGATGGTGATGGTAATGGGGAAGCGGGGGGCGGTTCAAACTGCCGACAACATCCTAACCACCAACCAACCAACCAACCAACCAACCAGGCGAAAGGGGGGAGGGAAGGAGGGGGAAGGGCAGGTTGAGGTCCGGGGTGGTGGCGATGCACGTAGGGACAGGACGCGGGAGAAGAACCACCACGGGCAAGGAGTATACATAGGGTGAATGTGCACGTGTATGTGTGTGTGTGTATATGTGTGTGTGTGTGTGTGTGTTACATGGTTGGGAGTGCGTGACCCCATACCTGTAAAACTACCCATACGAGCCGAAGGCCCAAGGGCAATACTACAACGCCTAAAAGCCACGGAGGAAAGGAAAACACCGCACATCAGCCCAGACTAGCGCCCAACGGGGATAACTGAGTTGCGGTACGAGCCCACATACGCTCCAACATCCTCGCCAGACGTACTGGCTCCCATTTCATGGCCTTCCAACATGCTCTGTTGATGATCGAATCCCTCTTCCGCACGAATATCATTATAGGCTGGGCATTCCAATAACACGTGTTTTTCATCCTCGACTTGGCTGTTGGTGCGCCACAACAGCGGCAAAACCGAGATGCTCCCTGGGGACATGGCGCTTGGCCCTTCGTGCTCTGTTTGCCTGCCTCCAAAGCCCAGCAACAGAAACGAAACTGCATTAGCTTACGATGTGCTCTAAACGAGGAATGAAATCTTTTGCGTGTGTGGATGTGTGGAAAGAGCGATCATGAGGTGTCGTGGGTTCCGGAGCACGCCTCGGGTTTTGCAATCGGGCTGCGGTCCTACCTGAAATCGGATCACCAGCTCGTTGCGCATATGCTCCAGGGAACCGAATATGGAGGCAGGCGGTGTACGGAGCTGGATTCGTACCTGTACGGTAACGTGAGCAGTACGGCAGCAGCAGCCAGCAGGAGAGGTCGTACACGACAGCTTATACGTAACCCCGGGACCTTCTCGGGACGTCAACCCCTAAACCCCCGAGCCCCCCCCGAACCCGCGGAGACCTCTCATACCCGGAAGGCCGGCTGGCGAAATCCCCCCCAACATATCAATAATAAAACATAGTAAATAGTACATAAAAATTACAGGAAAACAATCATACAGATCATAATTCAAACATCGTAAAATCATGCACATACATGCAAAGTGGCTGACGTGGAACCCCACTACTTCGTCTCGTGCCTCAATTCGCGAATACACACATACAAACATACGCACACACTCTCACGCGCGCACTATCCGGCGCACCCCCCTCTCCTCCCCCTTTTCCCCCCTCTCCCCCCTCTTTTCCCCCCCCCAACCCACCGCCGCCAACCGCTCATTGAGGGCCTTGCCCGCCTTGATGACGACGGGCACTCCGTCCCACCGCTCGTTGC